GGATGGTCTGGTTTCATTCTTCTGCATGTGGTTGTCGAGTTTTCCCAGCCCCATTTATTGAAGAGACTGTCTTTTTTTTCCCATTCGATGTTCTTTCCTGCTTTGTCGACGATTAGTTGACCGTAGAGGTGAGAGTCCATTTCTGGGGTCTCTACTCTGTTCCATTGATCTATGTGTCTGTTTTTGTGCCAATACCATACTGTCTTAACTACAGCTTTGTTATATAGCTTGAAGTCAGGCATTGTGATACCTCCAGCTTTGGTTTTCTTTTTGAACATTCCCCTGGCAATTCGGGGTCTTTTCTGTTCCATAGCAATTTTAGGATTATTTGTTCCAGCTCTGTGAAAAATGTCAATGGTATTTAGAAAGGGATTGCATTGAAAGTTTAAATTGCTCTGGGTAGCATAGACATTTTAACGATATTTATCTTTCCAATCCATGAGCATGGAATGTTTTTCCATCTCTTTGTGTCTTCCTCAATTTCTTTCATAAGTGTTCTGTAGTTTCTAGAGTATAGATCCTTTACCTGTTTGGTTAGGTTTATGCCTAGGTATATTATGGTTTTTGGAGCTCTTGTAAATGGAATTCTCATTATGGAACATTATGAATATTAAGATAAATAGCAAGACATCCAAATCTAGACCCATAATAGCGTAACTGCAGTAAACACACAAAGAAAAAGAATTCTTTTCTCCCCCCCAAGAGTAAAATCTTTAAAGCCACCAAAAACTGTGGGGAAAAGGAGCAGAGTGGGGAACAGATTATGTTCAAAGGAGAAACAGGCAAACAGCTATTTTCTAAAGAGCAATTATGAAAGACAAAGGGCAGTGGAATGACATTTTCTGTAGGATCAAAGAAAATAACTATTCACCTAGGATTCTCTATGCTGTGAAAATGTATATCAAGAGTAAGAGGAAATAAAGACATTGTTATTTATTTTTTAAAGATTTTATTTATTTGGAAGAGAGTGAGAGAGAAGGAGCGAGAGAGGGAGAACAAGTGGGTGGAGGGGCAGGGAGAGAGGGAGAAGCAGACTCCATGCTGAGCAGTGAGCCTGAAGTGGGGCTCAATCCCAGGACCCTGGGATCCTGACCTGAGCCAAAGGCAGACACTTAATCAACTGAGCCACCCAGGAGCCCAATAAAGACATTTTAAACAGAGATTCATTACCTGGCAGTTCTCACTCATGAAAATTTTAAAGAATGTACATAAACAAATGGAAGAAAAATAATCCCAAATAGAAATTCTGAGATGCAAGAGGACAGGGAAAAAAAATAAATATGTAGTTCAGTTTAAATGGACGCTGACAGTATCATATAAAAGCTATAAAAATGTCGAGTATTTTTTAAAGATACAAGAGAGAATTAAAACACAAAGCAACAATACACATTAGTTTGGAGCCATGCAAATTGAGTTAAAAGTATTCAAAACTCCTTGCATTATCATTATCCATGAACAGAGAGAAGAAAACCCTCACCAAGATATCATCATATCAAGAGTGGCAATGTATGCAACAGACGAATGAAATCACAACTAAATTCAGTTTACCTAAGAAACGCAAGGCTGGTTTCACATGAGCACATAATGTAATTCACCACATTGACAAATTTTTAAAAAATTATCTCAATATATGCAAAACAAACATCTATTATCTTTCAACATTCATGATAAAACTTAGAAAACTAGTAGTATAAGGGAACTTTGTTAATATATTTGTAACAGAAAGACCCTAGGTGACCCCATAATAAATGCCCTGTGGTGTTCTCAGCTTTTATAATCCTTTTCCCTTAAGTGTAGCCAAGATCTGTGACTTGACTCTAGCCATTAGAAAATGGCAAATGTAACGGAATTTTGCAGATACAATTGTTAATTTTGAGTTAATCAGAAGGGGATTATTCTGTGTAAGCCTGATTTAAGCAGGTGAAGCCCTTAAAAGAGGACTGAGGCCTCTCTGCAGTGAAATTCTCCTTGTTGGCCTCATGAAGCAAGCAGCCATATTGTGGAGGCTTACATGGCCAGGAACAAGGAACAGCCTTGCTATAGACTGAATATTTGTTCCCCCCACTCCCAAATTCATGTATTAGGTCTTAATGTTCAATGTAATAATATTTGGAGGTGGGGGCTTTGGGAAGTGATTAAGTCATGAAGGTGGAGCCCTCATGAATGGGATTAGTGCCCTTATAAATAAAGGATACCTGAGAGAGCTCCCGTGGCCCTGTGCCTTATGAGGAAACAGAGGAAGACCAGCATCCATGAACCAGGAAGCCGGCCCTCACTGGACACTGAATCTGCCAGTGCCTTGATTTTGGACTTCCCAGCCTCCAGAATTGTGGGAAACAATAAAATAAGACAGTTTAGCAAGATAGGTGAATCTAAGCTCAATATGCAAAGTAATTTTATTTCTATAAGCTAGCAACAAACAGGAAATGAAATTGATTTTTTAAAATAACATTTATAATGGGGTCAAAATATTAAATAACTGGGAATAAATCTAAAAAATATCTGCAGGACCTTTATAAGAAATTTTTTAAACATTGAGAGTTAATCAATTAAAATACTGTTAGGAAAACTCAGTATTATGTCTTTTCCCTATAAACTATCTATAGATTCAATGCAATTCTAATCAGAATCATTGCTTTGTAAAGCTTGACAAGTTGATTATAAAAGACCTATGGAGCCTTTCCCCCTTTATTCTTTCTATTTCCACATTTTCAGTTCAAAAGCATAGAAACAGAAACAGGGATCTGTGGTGGCCCTGAGTGAGGTGTTGGAGCCTGGATAGAATGGGGAAGGCATAAAAGTGGGAGAGCCACCCTGCACAGTGTTGGAACACCCCTGAAAGGACAACAACATAGAATGTGCTATTGCAGACTGAAGGGAAAGAACAGCCCAGCATGGGTTTTCAGAGCCTGTGGGGGCAGTCAATCATCTGCAGAAGACGTGGCCTGGCACAGGGTGTCTGAGAAAGGAGATATTTACATGTCTCAAAGTACTTCCCCCAAAATACTAATTAATTATAAAGTGGAAAGTTAACATTCCAGAGGAGAAACCTGGCAGATATTACCTCCAGGATCAATGCTAACATGACCAAAAATGGGACAAATCAAAATTGTAGGTCTCATGATAGGATGCAATGAGAAGAGTAGAGGACCACTTCATACTCTTGCTAAAAATGTATGAAATGATTTTTTTAAAAAGATTTTATTTATTTATTCATGAGAGACAGAGGAGGAGGGGGAGAAGCAGGCTCCCAAGGAGCAGGGAGCCCGATGTGGGACTCGATATCAGGACCCTGGGATCATGACCTGAGCCGAAGGCAGATGCTTAACCATCTGAGCCACCCAGGCTCCCCTGATCTGAACTTTTTTAAAGTTGTTTTTTTCTTGGTGTTGTTTTTTTCTTTTTTGTAATTTGTCAGAGAGAGAGAGAAAACACAAGCAGGGGGAGCGGCAGGCAGAGGGAGAAGCAGGTTTCCCACTGAGCAGGGAGCCTGATGCAGGACTTGATCCCAGGACACCAGGATCATGACCTGAGCCGAAGGCAGTTGCTTAACCAACTGAGCCACCCAGGCGTCCCTGATCTGAATTTTATCATAAGGAGACATAAGAAAAACCCACATTGAAAGACATTCTACATTACTGGAATTAACTGTTTAAAAGATTAAAAGTTGTGAAAATTAAGGAAAGACTAAGGAACGATTCTAAACTGAAGGAACTAAGAGACACAACATCTGAATTAAATACATGGCTCTGAACAGGACCTTCCTTGCGTATAGGATATTACAGACAAGTGACAAAACTTAGAAATATGAGGATTAAATGATAGAATGTACAGGGTGCCTGGGTGGCTCAGTTGGTTAAGCGTCTGCCTTCAGCTCAGGTCATGATTCCAGGGTCCTGGGATCGAGCCCCATGTCGGGCTCTCTGCTCAGTGGGGAGCCTGCTTCTCCCTCTCCCTCTGCCTGCCGCTCTGCCTACTTGTGCTCTCACTGTCAAATAAATAAAATCTTTAAAAAAAAAATGATAGAATGTATAGTTGACATGGTTTGAATGGGTGCACTTATATGCAGATGCTTTCAATAAATACATGATAGTACTGTAAATGTATTTTCTCTTATGATTTAAATAACATTTTCTTTTCTCTAGCTTACTTTATTGGAAGAATATAATATGGAATACATATAACACACAAAACACAGTTTCATTGACTGTTCTGGTACCAGTAAGTTTTCTGGTCAACAGCAGATTATTAGTAAAGTCAAAAGTTGGGGAGTCAAAAGTTATTCACGTATTTCTGACTGCAATGGGTCAGTGCCCCTAACCCCCACATTATTCAAGGGTTAATTGTATTAGAGCTAATTGTCTGATTGTCAGGGTCATATTTTTAAGTTTTGTCACTTGTCAGGGTTGTACAGTAGTCATGTGGAATGTACTGATTTGTAGGATATAAATGCTATGGCAATCAGGCATAATCTAACAATTTACTTGCAAATGGTTCTGGGGGAAAACGTTCTTTTCTCTTTCTCTAATTTTTCTTTTCTCTAATTTTAAGACTGTCTTCAAAAAGTAAATCAAAAATAAACAGAAAAGGTGAAAAGTTTTAGGCAAATCTTATTTCACCATGAGGAAAGAGCTATGAATCAGTACTTAAAATTAAAATTATACATAGGTTTTATGGCACTATAAAAATTGTAATACATACAAACATTGACAATAGCCTTAGCAGCAATATATCAAAATGATGTCTGTGTAAATCTCCAGGTCCATATGTAGTAATATAAACTGGAAAATACTAAAAGGCTATCAATTAACACCCCTGAAGTACTAATGACAATTTGGTTGGTTGGGTGCTGTTTAAAAAGCTGGTATTTGGGCAGCTTGAAGCATGTAAAACCCAACAGTGCTGGTCTCCATGTATAAAACCTGCTTAAAAGTTAATTAGGTGCCAAGAAACATAGCTTAAAATATTATATAAACTTTCATTACACACATGATCCAGAACTATTTTCCTTTATTCAAGATTTTCACACGATATGTTTAGTAGGACACAATTAAGATGTTATACAAACATCCAGTAAATAAATTTTTAATGTTTGTCTTTCAGAACATATAATTTTTCTTCAAAATCTGTAAATATTCTTTTGAAGATTTCACTAGTAGATCGTCATTTACATGTGATTCATAAGTAGATTCTAAAGAGGAGGTCATACACCATGAGTCTGATTCAAATTCAGCAGCAGCTGAAAAGAAAAAGAATTACATTCTTTATCTAAAATACTTTGTAGTTAACTACAAGTTAGTAAAAAACAAAGTTGAAGCCTTATGAGTGTTAAAAAGAATGAAAAACATCTACATAGAACTACAATATAAAATACAAGATTACTTTTAAATATATTTTGCTCATGGTTGCCCAGTGAGTTAATTGCTATTGTGGATAAATATCAGAGCTTCTAGTTTTCTCATTACAAGATGAAATTACAAGATGATGACAGAGCCCACCCCTGAACAATCATATACTAGAAACTGAAAAATCAAACAGGCAATTTTAGAGTTGAATATACCATGACAGGTATAAAACAAGACACTATAAGAACACACAAAAGGGACATCCTAGTTTTCTATCAATACTGCCTGCTTTTTGGTGGAGGTGATATGTAAGTTGATACCTGAAGTACAAGGAAAAAGTGGGCCAGGTGGAGGGAAGACACATATACAAAGAACATATACAAAGAGTGAGGAAGAACACTTGTGGAATTGCAAGTAGTCTACGCTGAAGAGGTGCTAGAGCAAAGCAACAGAGTAGGGTAAGTAGCGACAGAGAAGGCTGAATAATCTGGCAAGAACCAAATTGACTTGGGTGTTTTTATTCCATATAAGGAACTTGGAATTTTATTCAATGGCAAAAGGTAAACCAATGACTGGAGATTTAAATATCACCTGTCAAGTGACAGCTATATGGACTATAGTTGCTTAACTATTACTAAGACAAGTCTGAGTTTTTTGGTCTTATACCACTAGCAGAAACAAGAATTTGAGAAAGCCCACATATTCAGGTTGACGGTTCCATAGGAATGGCAGAAGTGAAGGAAGATTATAGCCAGAAATAATAATAGATACATAGACATTTGGATATTTTTTAAAGTCTGAATGAACACGATGACTAAATGAGGAATAAGTAAGTTCATCATTATGTTAATGCTTTACATTTTTTATTGGCTATATATTTAAAAAAATTAATGTAGTACCTATTATCCAAACCATGGAAAGGGATGCCATTTACTATTCATAGTTTATTTCAGAAATCAATGACCATCTTAATTCATAAATTTGGCAACATACCTTCTAGTTCTCTAGTTATATTCCTTTCCATCTCCTGCTGAGATATGTCCATCTGAAATAAGTCAAATATTATTTATAATGTTCAAGTTAAACAAGAGACATTATTGTAGGAACTATATATAGCTTATGAAATGTGGTCTTTAAATAACACTTTTAGAGACTAAAACTAAGTTAGGGATTGCTGAAATAGAAAGATAATGACATAAATAAAATAAATCCCTACTTATTTTAATCTTAGGTAACTGAGAAGAAACATATGTAATGCTATTTAGATGAATCTGATAAAAAGTACAATTAATATTGGTCTATTGAATATACATACTTTCTGGAAGAAGAGGAAGATGGCGGAGGAGTAGAGGACCGTAGTTTTGTCCGGTCCCTGGAATTCAGCTGGATAGCTTTCAAATCATTCTGAAGACCTGTGAACTCAACCTGAGATCTAAGAAAAGAACTGTTGCAATTCTACAAATAGGAAAGCGACCACTTTCTACAAGGTAGGAGGTGTGGAGAAGCGAATCGGCGGTGATCCATAGGAAGATAAACCGTGGGGGGGAGGGAGCCTCCATAAGCCAGCTATCAGAAAGTGATAAAGCAGTGGTGTGCAAATCAGAACTTGTAGAAGTCTGCTCCGGTGAGGGACATCCTGCTTGAAAGGCACTCAGGTGCAGAAGCAGGGTGGAATCCTAGGTGGGACGGCCTTATCTCAGGATCCCCAGGGTCACAGAAAGAATGGGGGTGCCTGAGTATGGGAGAGTTCCCAGGCATTTGAGCAGTGAAGCCGGCTGCAATCAGAGAGCTGAGGAGGGGGCTTTCAGCTCAGTGTTGCCATAAACCACAAACTGCAGCCAGTTGGGCGACCGCTCTCAGAGCAGGGGCCATACAAGTGGCAGAACCAGGGCAAGACCTCCCTCCCTCTCCCAGGAGGAGTGGCACGAATGCATGCCACAGGAGACTGCAAAGTTTGGAAACTCCAAAGGGGGTTGCATGGCTGAGATAAAAATGTTCAGTCACAGGCTGGGTGTACACAGAATGCAGACAGAAACCAGGGAGGCGAGAGTGATTGACAGCTTCTCCATGAGGGCACACTGAGGAGTGGAGGGTGCCAGCTTTCAGCTCCCGGGCTGGACACTGGGAGGCTGACATTTTCATTCTCATCCTATAAAGTGGTGTGGAAAGCCTTCAGGGAACAAAAGCCACATAGAGCAATCCCGAGGCCCGGACTTAGCCTGGCCCCCTGGCAAGGGCAGTGCAGTACTGCTGGAGCAAAGACTCCTGAGAATCAGCACCACAGGCCTGTCCTCCAGAAAATCAGCAAGAACATCCGGCTAAGACCAAGTTTACCGATCACACAGAAATGCAAAACTCCAGCACTAGAGGAAAATACTATATAGAATTCATGGCTTTTTCTCATGATTCCTCAATCTCTCAATTGTAATTTTTGTTTTCCTTTTCAACCAATTTCTTATTTTATCAACTCGTTTTTTAAAACTTTTTCAATGTTCATTTTTATAATTACATTCTATACTTTCATTGTATTTAATTTTATTTTTGCATATACAGAAGTTTTTCTTTCTTTACAATTTTGGGGTGTAGTTTCTTCTAACAAACAGACCAAAATATACCCAGAATCTACTGTATTGCTCTGTTCTCATCACCTGTCTGATTATATTCTCTTTCGCCTTTAATTCTTATCTATTTTTTTGGTTTCAGGTCTCCTCTGATTTGTTAAGAGTAGATTTCTCTGGGGTCGTTGTTGCTATTTTAGTATTTCGTTCTCTCATTCATCTATTCTTCTCTAGACAGAATGACTAGATGGGAAAACTCACCTCAAATAAGAGAACAAGAGACAGTACTGACTGACAGGGACCTAATCAGTATGGATAAAAGTAGGATGTTGGAATTAGAGCTTGGAATAACAATTATAAAGATGCTAGCTGGGCTTGAAAAAGCACAGAAGACACTACAGAATGCCTTTCTGGAGAAATAAAAGAACTAAAAGCTTAACAAATCGAAATCAAAAGGCTATTAATGAGATGCAGTAAAAAATGGAGGCTCTACAGTATGGAGGTTCCTCAAGAAGTTAAAAATAGAGCTACCCAATGACCCAGTAATTGTACTACAAGGTCTTTACCCCAAAGATGCGAATGTAGTGATCAGAAGGCGCACCTGGACACCAATTTTTATAGCAGCAATATCCACAATAGCCAAACTGTGGAAACAGCCCAAATGTCCATCGACAGATGAATGGATAAAGAAGATGTGGTATATATACATACAATGGAATATTACTACGCCATCAAAAGGATGAAATCTTACAATTTACATTGACGTGGATGGAAATGGAGGGTATTATGCGGAGAGAAAAGTCAATCAGAGAAAGACAATTATCATATGGTTTCATACATATGTGAAATATAAGAAAAAGTGCAGAGAATCGTAGGGGAAGGGAGAGAAAACTAAAATGGGAAGAAACCAGAGAGGGAAACAAACCATGAGAGACTCTTAACTATAGGAAACAAACTGAGGTTTGCTGGAGGGGAGGTGGGTGGGGGGATGGGCATGAAGGAGGGCACGTGATGTGCAGAGCACTGGGTGTTATATACAACTGATGATTAACTGAACACTACATCTGAAACTAATGATATATCATATGTCAGCTAACTGAAGAGAAATTTCAGGAGTGCCTGGGTGGCTCAGTTGGTTAAGCGGCCGCGTTCGGCTCAGGTCATAATCCCAGGGTCTTGGGATCGAACCCATGGGCTCCTTGCTCAGCGGGGAGTCTGCTTCTCCCTCTCTGTGCTCTCTCTCTCACTATCTCTGTCTCTGTGGCAAATAAATAAATATGTTCTTTAAAATAAAATGAAATTTTAAAAAATTTATCATATACATATGGGTAATGGTGAAATGAAACATTATTTTTTTAAAGATTTTATTTATTTGACAGAGAGACCAGCGAGAGAGGGGACACAAGCAGGGGGAGGGGCAGAGGGAGAAGCAGGCGCCCGCAGAGCAGGGAGCCCAATGCGGGGCTCGATCCCAGGACCCTGGGATCATGACCTGAGCCGAAGGCAGATGCGTAATGACTGAGGCACCCAGGCGCCCCAATAAAACATTATTTACTTATCTTTTCCAGACGGACTGAGCTATACTTAATAAAAATTATGTATTTAAAATAAAAAAAAAAATTGGAGGCTCTGCTATGATAAATGAGGCAGAAAGGAGAAGTAGTGATGCAGAAGACAAAATAAAATGATGGAGTATAGGGGCACCTGGGTGGCTCAGTCGTTAAGTGTCTGCTTTTGGCTCAGGTCATGATCCCATGGTCCTGGGATCGAGCCCCGCGTCGGGCTCTCTGTACAGCGGAAAGCCTGCTTCTTCCTCTCCCATGCCCCCTGCTTGTGTTCCCTCTCTTGCAGTGTCTCTCTCTGTCAAATAAATAAATAAAATCTTTTTAAAAAATTTAAAAAAATTTAAAAAATGATGGAGAATAAAGAAACTGAGAAAAAAAGAGAGATAAACAACTACTGGATCATGAGGTGAGAATTCAGGAGATAAGTGATACCATAAAGTGGAACAATAGTAGAATAATTGGGATCCCAGAAGAAGAGGAAAGGGGGGGGTGGCAGAAGGTATATTTGAGAAATTATAGCAGAGAACCTCCCTAATCTGGGGAAGGAAACAGGCATTCAAATCCAGGAGGCACAGAAACCCCAACCCCCTTCAACATCAATAAAAACAGGTCCACACCTCAACATAGAGTAGTGAAGCCTGCAAATTTCAGAGACAAAGAGAAAATCCTGAAAGCAGCTCAGCACAAGAGGTCCTTAACCGACAAGGGTAGAAACATTAGACTGGCAGCAGACCTAACCACAGAGACCTGGCAGGCCAGAAAGGACTGGCATGATATATTCAGGGTGCTAAACGAGAAAAATATGCAGCCAAGAGTACTGTATTTATCCAGCAAGGCTGTCATTCAAGCTTGAAGGAGAGAGAAAGAGTTTCCAGGACAAACAGAAACTAAAACATTTGTGATCACTAACCCAGCCCTGCAAGAAATATTAAAGGGGATCCTTTACGCAGAGAGAGCCCCAAAGTAACACAGACCAGAAAGGAACAGCGACAATGTACAGAAACAGTGACGTTACAGATAGTACAATGGCACTAAATTCGTATCTTTCAATAGTTACCCTGAATGTAAATGGGCCAAATGCCCCAATCAAAAGATGCAGGGTATCAGATTGGATAAAAAAGCAAGACCCATCGATATGCTGTCTGCAAGAGACTCATTTTAGACCCAAGGACACCTCCAGATTGAAAGTGAGGGAGTGGAAAACCATTTATCATGCTAATGGACATCAAAAGAAAGCTGGGGTAGCAATCCTTGTACCAGACAAATTAGATTTTAGACCAAAGACTGTAATAAGAGATGAGGAAGGACACTATCATAATGACTTAAAGGGGTCTATCCAACAAGAAGATCTAACAATTGTAAATATGTGTGCCCCTAACATGGGAGCAGCCAATGACATAAACCAATTAATAATAAAATTAAAGAAACACATTGATGATGATACAATAATAACAGTGAATGACACACTGGACTGTGGGAAACAGACCTCCACAACAACCACTGGTGCATGTTCGTTCAGACTCCGAGATCTCTGAGAAAACTCGATTTGCTGGGTTAAAAATAAGCCGAAAGGATCAGAGTGAATTGCCCTTGGGACGTGTGTGGTCTGTTCTAAAGTACGCAGCAGAAGATGTTTTGTAGATAGGAAGCCACCTGTAAACAGCACACTGTGCACTCCCCTCTTGGTTCCCTTGCCCTGTAAATAGCACACTGTGCACTCCCCTCTTTGTTCCCTTGTCCTGCTTTAAAGATTCTTATCATACACGCGGGACTAATCCTATGTACATGGAAGAATGTGCCTTACTAAGCCCATGCTGTAAATCATTAGAGATCTATAGCGCTGTAGAAGGTATATAAGATTATGGAAAATAAACCTCGGGACCTTGGGCTGATTGCTCGGGGTCCCCTGTGCCTCGCAAAAC